CAATGGCACAGACTGAGGTCATGTCTAAAAGTCAAAACGGGCTTCCAGAACTACGGTTAGGTCTATTGACTTTGGCGTCTACACGTATTTCCAATGGAATAAAGATCTTCAGGTCAGGGAACCAGACTACTTCATAATTTCGACCATGCTTTGAATTAAGAGAGCTCGAGTACATGTACTTGTTCTAGTTTCACTGCAAGCAGCTTGTCCGTTTAAAGAAGAGTAAGACAGGTTAGGCCCTTCCTTGAAAGGTAAGTGCTTATAAAATGTAGTTCTGTTACGTATGGGCATTGTTGGCGAAGCAGAGGTCAGGCTTAAATGCAATAATTTTAATCCTCAACAGTCAACCGGGTTGGCCACGGTTGTTTCCTACCTTCGTGGGTGGACTACAGAAAGTGTTTATTCGTAGTCGTACGTAGACTCGAAGTCGTAGTGCACTAAGGAGCATCTGGGCTAGCCATAGTGCCCATACTTCAGCGTCATCAAATATGGCAAATACTATCAGCGTCAATAAATCTAATTTACCCTTTTAAGATTAAACGTTATACCGTTGTATTGGTGAGACTAAATTGTGAAAATGTAACGGCAGTACATGTATGTGATGCAATGTACAACATTGGCCATTCGATGTAGACATGTTACTTAGAGACAGTTGGTGGCAGAAAAATTCTTTTTCATTCTCAATCACAATGAACATGCGCACTTAAGCTCAGACGTGGTGTAAACAATGCCGGGTAGAGGACCGGTTTATTTGCTGCCACCAAAGTCATTATAGTTTTAACAAAAATAAATTGTCTTATTTGTCTAACATTTGCAGAAAGTGTTGCATCACATGACACAACAGTGTCTGCAGTAAGACAACGAATAGCGAAGTACCTCAAGCTTAGTATTCCTACCAGAGACAAACCAAGAGCCCTGAGTAATTCAGCAGGCATGCCCACCGGATAACTGTGCGACCAGTCTAGTGCATCAGATGGCCTGTTTCCTGGCTGTTTCATATATTTCGGTGATATTTAATTTATGAGCATAAAGCCTATTTTTGTATTGGGTCTTATTTGAAAACTTAAAACCTTTTGTTGTTCAAGTAAAATATGTACATTTT